TGGGGTTAGGGTCAGAATAGAAGCCTATTTCTTTTGGAGATGATCGCCAAATGTTTAGGGGTTGAAATGGACCAAATACTGAAAAAATGTCGGATTTTGCAGCAGCTATACAGGTCGCAATTATAGACCAATCGACGCGGAATTTCGCATGTAGCTAGAGTTTAGGGCGGGGAAGAAGCCTACCAATTTGGGTGGTCATTTGATAATATTTAGCGGGTAAAATAGACCATATATTTTGTGTTGAAAAAATTCAAAATTTTCCATCAAACCGCGAATATTTTAAATCCCAGCGAAATCACAAAGCCATGACAAGGTTACTTCTGATTTTTACATTGATGTTAACATCCAACAAAACGGATATATAGCAAAATATGTGCGATATATATGTTTATCAAAGAAGATATGCTTGAAAAATCTCTTATATGTCGAGAACGGCTGAACTGATTTCGACAGTTCTCATTAATTTAGAATGGCCTCTTTGCAGGAAACAAAAAACGTCTAAAAAAATCGCATAAAAGTATCTCTCTAAAGATGAAAATATTGATTTTGTAACATTTTCTCATATTTTTTCAATTTTGTCATATTTTTGGCATATTTTTATTTTGAATTAAACATTTGGTAATATTTCTACAGCTAACAAAACTAAGTAGTTAGGATATCAGGATATCATATACAGATCGCATTTATGGCCCGATCCTTACGAAATTTCGCATGGGGATAAGATGAGGGTCAGAATAGAAGCCTACTCTTTTTGGAGATGATCGTCATATATTTAGGGGTTGAAATGGACCAAAAAACTGCAAAATTGTCGGCAGGTCGTAATTATCGCCCGATCCTCACGCACATTTGAATGGGGGTTACCGGACATTACAAAAGCCAAGTAGTTTTGGATGGCCATCCAAAAATATTCAATATGTGAAATAGTTTGCCAACTTTTGTAGACAAAATACGAAAATGTTCATTCCAGTGACTTTTTGGAGAATTCACAAATACAGGAAAGACGCACTTCTGACTATTTCGTTAACGCTGATTTAGTTGAAGAATATAGTCAAATGTCTGTATCTCATATAGATGCGTTTCAGTCAAAAACCAATAATAAATGTTAATCTTTTGCCACTTCTGAGAGGTTATAGGTCTTTGGGAAATATTGGTTCCAGATCTAGGAAGGCCATTTACGTGCAACATCTACCAATAAATTGGAAATGAGCAAATTAGTTAAAGTAGCTATTATTCGAAAATTAGAGAACGGAACCTGATGGTTTTCCTTTATTATTTGTCACAATATCTTGTGGAATTCTTTCGAGTATCTCGCCTATAAAAACTGTATCGTTTATTATAGTGTTGTAGGGTATTCAACGGTCGGCCCCACTCGACTGTAGCCTTTGCTTACTTGTTTTCTTTTTAATTTTGTTTATTTGCTAATTTGTTAAACTTGTTTTACAAATTGTTTTTTTTTTTGTTGTGGGATTTACCTTCTTTTTCGTGGTAGGTATATGCCAACAGGTGTGCCAAATATTATCTATGTGACTGTAGAGTTTGCGCTTGCTGTAGGGTACATAGAACCATTTATAATTGTCTATGGGAAGTTCACACACATACTTAAATATTTATTCACATGTGTGGGTGAAATTTGTTGGATATTTTATTTCTTAAGTGCTGAAAAGGATATACGACAGGGATGGAACTGGAGGGCCTTCATGAACTCAATGAACTTCTTTCATTATCAATTTTTTTACCCTCCCCAATTCTATGGAGGGTATATTAACTTTGTCATTTCGTTTGTAACTCCTCGAAATGCTCATGTCAGATCCAACCAAGTATATATATTCTTGATTAGCGTAAAATTCTAAGACGATATAGCGATGTTCGTCTGTCTGTAGTAACCACGCTGTAATATTTCGAACGAATTGAGATAGAAGGCAAAAAGTTTGCATACATGTGTATTTTGCCAGTAGGCAGGTTAAGTTCGTCAATGGGCCATGTCGGTCCACGTTTTCTTATAGCACCCATATAACGATACCTCCCGATATTCGGTATTTTAATGATTTTAGCGGCATTATTAAACCGAATTGTTTCAAATTTGGTATTTGAAGTTCGTAATGGATACTACAGCCAAAAACAGAAAATTGTCTGTGCAGGTCCACGTCTTCGCATAGCACCCATATAACGGTACCTCCCGATATTCGGTATTTGAATGATTTTAGAGACATTATAGACCGGAATTGTTTCAAAGTTGATATTTAAAGTTCGTAATTGATACTACATCCTATGAAAAAAAATGCGTGTGCAGGTCTACGTCTTCGTATAGCCCCCATATAAGGATAGCTCCCTGAATACTGAATATATTTCGATGATTTTAGCAACATTATTCTCCGGAATTTCGTATTTGAAGTTCGTAATGGATTCTATAAGCTATGACAGAAAATTGTCTATGCAGGTCCTCGTCTTCGTATTGGCCATATATAACGGTGCCTCCCAATATTTGGTGTTAATATAATTTTAGAGACATTATAGACCGGAATTGTTTCAAATTTTGTATTTAAAGTTTGGTACTACAACCTATGACAAAAAATTGCGTATACAGCTCTACGCTTCTCGTATAGCCCCCATATAACTATACCTTCCGTTATTCAGTATTTAGATAATTTTAACGACATTATTCACCGGAATTGTTTTAAATGTAGTATTAGAAGTTCGTAATGGACACTATAAGCTATGACAGAAAATTGTTTATGCAGACCCACGTCTTCCTATAGCCCCTTATAATGATACCTCCCGATATTCGGTATTTCGACCCATTCCCCGGAATTGTTTCAAATTTCGTATTTGAAGTTTAGTACAGAAGTGTGTCTGCCAATTTTGGTGAATATCGGTTCAGATTTAGATATAGCTCCCATATATATTTTTGTCCAATTTTAATTTTATATGTGTAATATTCATCTAAATGGATTGGATTCCGGCACATCCGATCAAATTCGGTTCAAAAACAATTAATTTAAATTTGATGAAAATCGGTTCAGATATAGCTATAGCTTCACACTATTTGGCGTTTTACATTCGTAATATGCACTCCACATCAATGATATTTGGTACCAGATATCAGATATACCCTAGAAATGCCAAATCTTCTCAAGATAGTTTCAGATTTGTTTATAGCTCCCGAATATATCTTTATCCGATTTCGGGTATTAGTGCACCAAATGGTTAATATTAGCCCAAATGGGTTGGATTTCTGCATATACGACCGAATTCTGCCTAGAAGGAAATACTTCAAAGTTGGTGAAAATCGGCTTAGATATAGCTATAGCTTCCATATATTATATTTATATGTTCCATCCGTTTTGGGGTTTAAGACCATCGCATTCGTATTATGCACTCCACAACAATGATATTTGAAATCATATATAGCCCAGAAATGCCAAATTTCATCAGGTCGCTTCAGATTTGAATGCAGCTTCCATATAAATCTTCATCCGATTTGTCTTATTGTGCACCAAATACAAGGTGGCGCAAGAGTAAACTTCCTATTTTTTTCGCCACAGTTTATTGTCATTTGAACCCTTTTTATCACTTTGGCCAAAACTTCCGGCGATAGTTCCTCACATTCTTGACGGATATTGTCTTTAAGAGCTGAAAGAGTTTGAAGCCTGTTGACATGGACCCGTGACTTCAAAAAGCCACACTAAAAGAAGACTGGAGGGGTCAAATCAGGCGATCTTGCTGGCCGGGAAATGTATCGTTCGGCCTATCGATTGTAACACGTGCAGTGAGTGCCGTTGCGCCTTCCTGTAGAAACCACATGTTTTCCAATCCCAACTCATGGCTTTGTAGCGCTCACCATTCACAATAACTGTTTGGCCCGCGACGTCTTTAAAAACAGCACACCATACATTGACTTTGAGCAGGGGTAGTGGGTAACACGAGGATTTTCAGTTCCCCAGAAGGGTAAATTTCGCTTATTTCCATACCCGCTAAGATGGAAGTGGGCCTCATTACTCATGATTATTTTTGATGAAAAATCATCTTCTTCTTGATGGTGATTCAGGATGGCTTGAACGTATGTTAGACGCGATTGGATGTCAGACGCTAACAGCTGATACACCATCTAGACTTTGTACAGAAACGGGTTGTTACGGTTTGCTCTACTGGACATGCATAGTGGTGCAGGGTATCATAAAGTCGGCCCTGGCCGAAGTTTTACCTTTCTTTACTGTTTTTTTTTTTTCAAATACTTTGTACCTTTTATTAAAAACCTGCATCGATTTATTTTTTACAATATAAATTCATTAAAAAACAAGTAAGCATAGGCTATAGACGTGCGGGGTCGACCATGTGATACCCTACAACACTAAAATATGTTAGAAGCCCTCTTATGTCCAAATCCATTTTGGAAGATTTCGACTTTTGAAATTATGTCACGGAGCACTGTGGTTCATTTTACAGCTAAATATAACCCAATGGTCGTCCAAAATGACAGAATTCTTCCCTGTCCTTAAGTCTCTTCTCAGGCGTATCGATTAATGCTCCCAACACATTGTGTTGTAGGGTATAAAAATCAAAATAATATTGTTTACATTTTCAAAACTTTTACTTAACCCTGAAAATGCATTGTCGATTTCTATAAATATAACTGGGTAAAATTCTTTCAATTGCCTAATGTGAGAACTCCACCACATGCGACAACCCAAAAAAACCTCTCAATTTAAATGTCAAAATACAAAAACAAAAAAAAAATAATTAAAATAAAATTAAACAAAAAACAAATACTGCCAGCTAATATCTCAATAACAAAAGGGCCCCTCCAAATTCTCAAAAAAATATATGCGCACACACATCCATTCGGATATAATTTTAAAAGTTCTGCTACTGCTGCTATATGTGTGTGGTGCTATACGCACACACTCCCCCTTTGTAACGACCCGAGTATTCAGTTCAACCGGTCCTGCTGCAAAAACTTTTCGCTTTAAAAGCCGTCCCAACCAGACGAAAACACTCAGTCGAGTTTTGATTGTTGCTGCGTTAAGCCGTGTCAATAACAGTAACGCCGTTACACTCTCTCCCTCTCTCTCTTTGAATTTGCTCTCTATTCATTGTGAGGTGCATACAACAAGTGCAAAAATAACAAAAATTACAACACATTAGAGGAACTATTCACATAGAATTGTTTCTCAATTATTTGGTGTTTATTTAAAAAAAAATTCAATTGTCAAGTGATTTGAGTTGACATAATACTTCATTTCAACTCCGTCATTATCGGGTAAAAAAAAGTTGAAAAAATTTCAATTTGAATAAAAATCAGCCAGTGGCAGTTACACCAAAAAAAAAAAAAAAAGAGAAGTGTTAATCACATTCAGCAGCTAATTAAATTTTCCTTCCAATTTTCTTCGCTCGAGTAAAACTCACATAAAAGGTAAATTAAGATAATAAAAATTGAATTAAATTGTGTCGCATGCCTTCGTTTTTTATTTGATTTGTAGTTGTTGTTGTACATATTCTATGGATGTTATTTTTAAACAATTAAGTTCAATTAATTTTGAATTGTAAAAAAAGATATGTGTGGCATGAAAAGGATTTTTTTCGATGTGTATATTGTTTGTGAATAGATACAAATTGGTGTTAATTTTTAGCTGCTGCAGTAGGAGGAGTTATATTGAAAACACACATTTTTCAAATTTTTGAAAATGTGCCTAGAAATCGTGAAATGTTAAGAAAAGTGTAGTAAAACAAAATAGAAAATATCAGTCGGGTTTGATGACAGATATATATCCTCAACCAATGTTCGATTATTTAAATATATTTGGACTTCTGTTTTGATTATTCAAATTGTTGACCCTCAAGGAAGTAAGTTCCGAAGGAATGGGCCAATAATGTGCATTTCGTATAATTGTGACCCCTGTTGTGGTCACAAGAGATCTAGTGTCAGCAAAAATTAAAAAGTTGAGTGAAATTAGATGCTTATTTTGCTTTCTTTGAGCGTTAGGTTTTTCAAAACTTTGAACCCTAAGTGGGGGAGGTACCACAAGGAATGGTCCGATCTCTACCATCTTTGTAACAGATCTTGTGTTGATGGTAATATTGATTGGAAGTTAATTTCGCGTTTTCTGAGTTTCATGGATATTCAAAATTTTGACCCTTTGTGGGGAAGGTACCAGAAGGAGTGTACCAATATATTCCATCTTCACAGCAGATCTTGTGTCAGTAGAAATAATGAGATTTGTGAAATATGAAAAGAATCGGATGCTTGTTTCGGAATTTATAATAGTTTTGGTTATTCAAAAATTGGAGCTAGCGGAAGAAATGGTCCGATCTCTACTCCTTTATAACAGATCTTGTCCTGATAGAAATATTGAAATGTGCCAAGTCTGAATGGAATTCGATGTTAATTTCGCGTTTTATGAGCTTCATGGATGTACTAAATATTGACCCTTTGTGAGGGAGGTACCAGAAGGAGTGAGCCGATTTATCGCATTCTCATACCAGATCGTGGGTTAATAAAAAATATTGTAATGTGTGTAATTTGAAGGCAATCGGACTCTTACATCACATTTTATAAACATTTTAATTATTCAAAATGTTGACCCTTTGTGGCGGAGGTACTTGATAGAGTGGACCGATATTGTCCATTTTCGCACCTGACCTAGAACTCATGCAAACATTAGGATTAGCAAAGTTGTAGCAAAATCGGATTGTGCTTTCTTTCTCTGTGCAGTAAAATATTTTCTTTGAAAATTCCTACCTATTGTAGGGGAGTTACCAGAAGGAGTGGAACGATGTCCTGAAACGGATTTGATCCAAAGGGACCCAGGGTCTAATACCGTTATTTCATATAACTGTACCTCCCGACATTCGGTACTTTGATGATTTTAGCCACACTTTTCAATGGCATTGTCTGAAATTCTACACAAGGAGGTCTCTGTGAGTACTTTACCCCCCTGAAAGATAATTGTCCATAAACGTCCACGATATCGTACAGCCCCCATACAATTGTTCCCCCACCCCCCATATTCGGTATTTTGATGATTTTAGCCAGATTGGAATTGGCTTATATAAAAAGTGACCTCTGGATGTGAAATTTATCTCCATAGCTTTTATACAGAATGTAATCAGGGAAAGCTGACTCTTAGTTCTTCAGGATACCTGCAGAAAAATATTTGTAACGACGAAGATGAACTGACTGACCCAAATTAATTTTGTGTTGAATTAAATTTCTTTTTAAGTTTTGAGGTATTCAAAAGGGGTTTAGACAGAACAGAGTATAGATGGCGTTGGTATTCGAATTAATCCTGATACATGAGCCGAATCTCTGATCGGAGCAGTCTCTGGCAAAGATCAAGCAGAACAATGATTCAGATGATTTGACTAGCATTTGTTTGAGTTAAGATAATCTTTTAAGTTTCACCGTATGCCAAAGGATTTAGACAGAACGAAGTCTAGATGGCGATGGTATTCGAATTAAACCTGATGGACGATCTGTCTCTCCAATCTCGGCAGAACATGGCAAAGATCAATAATTTGGTAATTATGATGAATTTACTAGCATTTGTCCGCGTTAAATTCACTATTTTTATTATGTTTTGAGGTATGCCAAAGATTTGAGATAAAACGAAGTATAGATGGCGTTCGTATTTAAACTAATCCTGATGGATGTAGTGACTTTCTTTTAGGCTTATAGCTGGCGGATAACAATCAAGAACGACTCAGAAGAACTAAACCACATTTGCCAGCATTGATTTCAATTCCTTTTAAGTTACGAGTTATGCAAAAGATTTTGGGTAGAACGAAGTCTAGATGGCATAGGTAATCGGACTTATCACGATAGATCATTCCAAGGCCATTTATCCCACCAGAAAATTACAACTATTTTCCTTCCAACTTTTTTGGTTTTTGAATTATTGTCTTCAGTCTTTAACCGCCAAAAAAAGTTCAAAAGAGGGTTTATACAGAACGAAGTATAGATGGCGTTGGTATTCGAATTAATCCTGATAGAAGATATGACTTTCATTCAGGCTTATAGATGGCGGATAACAATAAAGAAAGACTCCGAAGAACTAAACCATATTTGCCAGTGTAGATTTCAATTTCAATTAAGTTTCGAGTTATGCAAAAGAGTTTGGGTAGAACGAAGTCTAGATGGCGTTGGTAATCGTACTCATAGATAGATAGATCATTCCAGGGCTATTTATCCCAACTTTTTTGGTTTTTTGATTTATTGCCTTCAGTCTTTAACCGCCAATATTTCAAATTTTAAACATTAAAAAATAGATTTTCAACAGTATTTCACTGCCAAGAAATTGCTGGCATGTTTGGGAGGAACCAAGCCACCAATATTTGGCATTGATTAACCAGTTTTTTTTTATCTAACTATTGTCCAAGCTTGCATTGCATTGATGGTTTAGTTTTTTTTTTCTCGACTTGCTTCACTGGCAAATCGTGCCATAATATTTAACAAAAAAAAACTTGGCTCAAAAAGTTTCTAAAATTAAGTAATGGTATTTTTAATTCATGCAAAATCAAGGCCAACCAGAATATCTAGTTTTTTTTTTGTTTGATTGGCTTGTAGATCAGTTTTGTTTGTGGTTTTCAAAATGCATGTAATTAAGCTGAGAGTGAAAAAAAATAAAATATTTGCTTTATTTATTTAAAACATAATTAGCTAACGTGCGGATTTTCATGTTTTATTTTGTATTTTCTACAAATAGTTAAACCTTTTTACAATTGTCTATTGTTATTACATTGTTTTGTGTAAATTATTGTTTGTCTGGCTGTCGAATGCTGAAAAATGCTTATCTGTTTTATTATTGTATAATTATTTTAATTGATTAGTGTTTCCATTTTTAATTTGCCATTTAAAGATTCATCAATTCATGTTTGTGTGTTTTCAAACTAATTTGTTAATTTGCATTTATTTTCATTCTATAAATAAATTAAAATATTTAAGATTATGAAAATAGAAACGTTTACTGGCAGTGAATGGAAATTTCGACCTATTTACCTCAGGCATTTTTTTTGTTATTTTTAACGTTCTTTTGCATGTTTTTGTTTGGATTTAAATAAATAATTTTCTAATTAGTTAAAATTCCGTCTAATTGTTATTAACAAATCAAAATTCTTTCATTTCGTAACATTTTCTAAATTTTTGATTCAGCCTTTCGAAAAAAACCCAACCAAACAAAAAGCCCTGCTAACCATGTCTGGAAAAAAAGAAACCGTAACTAATAATAAAAATTCAAAATTCACTATTAATGAGGATAAATTGGATACTAATGTTTCGGTGAGTGGTTTTTTGGATATTAATGTTTTTTGTTTTCAAATTAAATTGGCTTATATGGTTCACAATCAACATAAAATGAGATAAAAAATAATGAAAACATAAGGTTTGTTCATCGCCAATTTATGTTGGGCGCCATCCACTTGATATTTCGTTTAAAGTTGTATCTCTTCTCCTGGATTGCGGAAAATGAAGCCCTAAACGCCATAGAAGACAATTGGCACTTATAACGATATCAAAGGAAATTGAAGGAAATATTGACACTTTGAATAGAAAATACACCATAATTTTGATATGATTACAAAATGTACACTGGAGCCCCGACTTGCGTCGATAATGGGGACAAGAGAAACGCATTGTATATTAAGTTACCTTTTTCTATATTCAAAATGTCCTGAAATTTAGTTTATTGGAGGAAGATATCTAAAACCAAGACGAAAATTGCATATTTTAAAATAGTTTTTAAAAGCGATGCAAGTCGAGGCACTAGTGTACAGACAAGTCAAAGGCATGCCAATGTGCTCTCCTATTTCCAAAGCGTAGGAAAAGCTACTTGACTCATCCATGGAGAGCTGAGCTGAGCATCTTAAATTCATTAAATGAAAATTAAAAACAAATAAAAAAGCGGTAGGTTCGGCCGGGCCGAACTTTGAATACCCTCCACCATTTCGAAAGATTTTGGCAATTTTCAAAAAAAAAAAAGAAAAAAAAATCCGTTAAAAATTCTATGTATCCGTTACATTAGGGTCTATACGACGACGTGGACCTGCATAGGCAATTTTTGTCATAAACCATTAAACTATTCAAATGCGAAACTTGAATAAAAAAAAATCGGTGAATAATGTAGCTATAATCGTCTAAATTCCGAATATAGGGAGGTACCGTCATATTGGGGCTATACGAAAAAGTGGACCTGCACAGACAATTTTCTGTCATAGGCTGTAGTATCCATTATGAACTTTAAATACAAAATTTCTTACAATTCCGGTGAATAATGGCAAAAAAAGTCATGAAAATAACGAGTATCGGGAGGTACCGTCATATGGAGGCTATACGAAGACGTGGAAATTTTTTTGCCATAGGTTGTAGTACCCATTACGATCTTCGAATACGAAATTTAAAACGATTCCGGTGAGTAATGTTGCTGAAATCATAAAAATACAGACTATCGGGAGGTACCGCTATATAGTCGATATACGAGGACGTAGACCTGCACAGACAATTTTCTGTCATAGGCTGTAGTATCCATTACGAACTTCAAATGTCAAATGTGAAACGATTCCGGTCAGTAATATTGCTGAAATCATAAAAATACCGAATATCGGGAGGTACCGTTATATGGGGCTATACGAATACGTGGACTTGCACAGACAATTTTCTGTCCCAGGCTGTAATACCCATTACGAACTTTAAATATGAAGTTTGAAATAATTCCGGTAAAAAAATTCGCTAAAATCATAAAAATACCGAATATCGGGAGGTACCGATATATGGGGGCTACACGAAAACGTGGACCGATATGATCCATTTACGAACTTAACCTGTCTGTACTGGAAAACTATGCATGTATGTAAAATTTTACCCCTCTATCTCAATTCGTTTGAAAGATAGCGTGAACAGACAGGCGGACAGATAGATGGACATCGCTAGATAGTCTTAGAATTTTACGCTGATCCAGAATATATATACCATGTAGGGTCTATAATGAATATTTCGAGGAGTTACAAACGGAATGCCCTCCATAGAATGGTGGAGGGTATTAAAATTATTATCTAGGTCTCTGAGAACCGTATATGTCGAATTCCACTTAGAACGATTAAAAGTGTAAATTTTTAAAAATTACAGTTAATAATATGGGGTCAAACGATATCGTTTTTGTTTTTTTTGCCGATTGTAGTCACAAAATATAACCAGGTCATATCTCAAAAAAATTCGACATTTATACATATGCGACAATCGAATTTTCTTCTTTTTGTTTTTATTTTTGTCGTTACTCTAACTCAATATTCTTTATTTCATATTTCACAGATCGATATGGAGGCCCCAGAATTCCGTGATTTCGCCAAATCGATGGTAGATTATATTGCTGAATATTTGGAAAATATCAGAGATCGGTAAGTAAGAACTTGTGATGCAATTAAGAGAGACACTTTGTTGGGCTTTGGATTAGAAAACCTGGTATTGGCTAGAGAGACTCGTCCATGTTGTGGACTTTTGAGTAAAGTTTTGTAAGGAGACTATTTGGTCTCTAAAAGGAGGAGAATAAGGAAAATAGAAGATACACATTAAAAAGCTATACCTAAGCTGAGAAGTGAGAATTGACAGATATATTAATAGAAAAGAGGAAAGTTTTCATCTAATCTATGCCAAACCAAGCCTACATGTTGTGGCAGCAAAGCGAATTTAGCACTTATCCTAAGTTTGTTAAGGGGCCAAAAAATCTGCTCTCAAATTCGATTTTCTCTATTATTCCCCTTAAATTTTCAGTGAATACATGCGAATATTTTATTATTTAGTTCCAATTTCGAAAATTTTCACTTTTACGTTCGGCTATTTAAAGATAAACTTTTATAAAAAAAAACCAGCAAAGAAAGTCCTAATTATACCCTCCACCACTTTGCTAATTTAGTAGAGCTCCACATAACAATTAAAAGTTTTTATGGAAGAATTCAATCATACACGCTATGATTATAATTATAATTTACAGTTCAAAGGACTAAATATGCCGAAGCATTTGTATCTTTTAAATTCGGACTTGTGTTGCCCATTTGGTGCACAAATAATTTAAAATCGGATAAAAATGTATATAGGAGCTATATCCAAATCCGAACCGATCTCGATAAAATTTGGCAAAGATATTTCTGAGCTGAATATCGTTGCTACTGAGTGCATATTATTGCGGTGGGTAACAAATACAACAAATCGGATGAACAATATATATGGAAGCTATAGCTATATCTGAACCGATCTTCACCAAATTTGACATACTAGCTTCTAGGCTCAATTCGGTCGTAAGTGCCAAATTCCATCCCATTTAGACAAATATTAGACGTTTGCTGCAAAATAAGAGGTAAATCGGACGAAGTTATATATGGGAGCTATATCCAAATCTGAGCCGATCTCTCGATAAAATTTAGCAAATGTATTTCTGAGCTGTATTTTATATATTATCCCTAATATGGTTGTTACAGAGTGCATATTACGGCTGTGGGTAACAAATATAACAAATCGGAAGAACAATATATACGGGAGCTATAGCTATATCTGAACCGATCTTCACCAAATTTTACATACTAGCTTCTAGACTCAATTCGGTCGAAAGTGCCGAATTTCATCCCATTTGGGCAAATATTAGACATTTGGTGCACAATAAAAGCTAAATCGGACGAAGTTATATATGGGAGCTATATCCAAATCTGAACCGATCTCGATAAAATTTAGCAAATGTATTTCTGAGATGTATTTGATATATTTCCCTGAATATCGTTTTTACGGAGTGCATATTACGGTTGTGGGTAACAAATATAACAAATCGGATGAACAATATATATGGAAGCTATAGCTATATCTGAACCTATCTTCACCAAATTTAACATGCTAGCTTCTAGGCTCAATTCGGTCGTAAGTGCCAAATTCCATCCCATTTAGACAAATATTAGACGTTTGGTGCACAATAAAAGCTAAATCGGACGAAGTTATATATGGAAGCTATATCCGATCTCGATAAAATTTAGCAAATGTATTTCTGAGCTGTATTTGATATATTATCCCAAATATGGTTGTTACAGAGTGCATATTACAGCTGCGGTTGGTTGTATGTGCAAAATTCCATTCAATTCGGGCTGATATTACACGTTTGGTGCACAATAAAAAGCAAATCGGACGAAGATATATATGGGAGCTATATCTAAATTTTGACCGATTATCTCCAATTTCAAAAGGGTTTGTCCTTGGGCCAAACAAATGATCTGTGCAAAATTTCATCTGGATCGGGCAATAAATGCGACCTGTACTTTGTTTACAAAAATACATGGACAGACGGACGGACATGCATAAATCGACTCAGAATGTGATTCTATACAGATGCTAGTTACAAAGAAATGCACAAAGACATAATACCCTGACCACCTTGTGGTGTAGGGTATAATGAAAAGGTATAAAATTTGTAACAATTATTATTTGTTCCATTTGGAGTTCATACGAGTTATATCTCGAAAATTAAATTACTTTCAACTTATTTTTTGTTAACCACAGAATTAGAGGTTTACATAATTACCAAAGTAATAAATCGCTTAAATCGTTTTCAATTCCACAACCCCCCTCAAATTTGCCTCACTCCAACGGCAGTAATACCTCTTAAAAAACTCCGGAACAAGAAACTGTTGCTGTAGAACAGAGAACCTTGATGCAGGCTGGTTTGCTGGCTGACTGACTGGCAGAACATGTCTGGTTTCCATGTTGAACAATCACTTTTTGTGTTTTATTAAAAAAATCGGTTTCTTATGTTTAATTGTGTTTCAATTGAACCAGAAAAAAAAGAAACACCGACATGGAGATACCTCTAAACGTTTCTAAATTAACCTTGACACACAGATTTTTTTCTGTTAACTAGTGAAACGTGCTACAGTACAATTGTCTGTACATAGAGATATGTAGGTATACAAGTTACAAATTTATGATAATATTTTTGTGAGACTTGAAATTGATGGCTGGTTGGGCAAGGAACTAGACGAGAAGAAAGATATCTTTTAGTTCCTGTTGGATTCAGACAGGGAAGTAAATTTAGATATTTGTGGGGGAATGGTTTCCTTTCAAGATATAGCCCCCATATAACGGTACCTGCCGATATTCGGTATTTTGATGATTTTAGCGACATTATTAACCGGAATTCTTTCAAATTTTGGTATTTGAAGTTCGCAATGGATGCTACAGCCTATGAGAGAAAATTGTCTGTGCAGGTCCACGTCTTCGTATAGCCCCCATATAACAGTACCTCCCGATATTCGGTACTTTGTTGATTTTATCGACATTTTTCACTGGAATTTTTCAAATTTGGTATTTGAAGTTCGTATAGCCCCCATATAAGGGTACCTCCCGATATTTGGTATTTTGATGATTTTACCGACATTATTCACCGGAATTCTTTCAGATTTGGTATTTGAAGTTCGAAATACATACTACAACCTAAGACAGAAAATTGTCTGTGCAGGTCCACGTCTTCGTATAGCACCCATATAACGGTACCTCCCGATATTCGGTATTTTGATGATTTTAGCGACATTATTCACCGGAATTGTTTCAGATTTGGTATTTGAAGTTCGCAATGGATACTACTGCCTAAGACAGAAAATGGTCCGTGCAGGCACACGACTTCGTATAGTCCCCATATAACGATACCTCCCGAATTCGGTATTTTGATAATTTTAGCGACATTATGCATCGGAATTCTTTTAGATTTGGTATTTGAAGTTCGTAGTGGATACTACAGCCTAAGACAGAAAATTGTCTGTGCAGGTCCTCATCTTCGTATAAAGGAAATATCATGCCACAATAGGTCTTATTTTAGTTCTTTTCTGTCACTAGTTCCTCTCTCTAGTGGGCTTCTCGTTTAGGCTCAAATCAAGCCTTTTCTTCTACTCATAATTATGTCTAGGCCAAAATATAAATTAAAAAAAATCTCGCATTTCTAGACATGAGACACGCAACAAACTAACACCTGAGGCTCAGTTTCTGTTTTTTAAATCATTTCAATATTAATCAAGGATTCCGTTAAAATACTTTCAAATTCGATTATAAATAACTTGGTGGGGAAATATTGAATGTAGCATTCATTGATTTAATGCTAATTAACTCAAATGTGACTCAGTTGTTCAGTTCAGATACAAAAGTGTACTTTCATTTCCGTCCCAAAAACAAATTACCTTCAAACGTATTTTTGCGTTACATTCTCCAATCGTATCAAATCGATAGTGACGAAACTGAAAAAAAAATCCCCCGTTAATCATATTGTCAACTTGCGAATTATTGAAATATCTGAGGAACACCTGTGCCAAACCGGAATTTGTTATAAGACACAACATGACATTGTTTTGAAGTTAATTCGCTTTAAGCCATTCTAAGCTGTAACAATGTGCCGGTTGGGGGGTAATAAACATAAATTAGACAAGTGGAAATTAATGATGAAATGTTTCAGGGAATGTAGCATCAGATCTTTTACAAAAATATACTGGAATATCCAATTCCATGTGTGAATAGATAACAATTAAAAATTTGTAAGTTCGGCCGGGCCGATTTTTGAATGCCCTCCAGCATTTGGTACAAAATTTGGCAATTTTCAAAAAAATAAAATCCGTTAAAAATTATGTTAAAGACGTGGACCTGCAGAGGCAACTTTAGTCATAAGCTACTACAATATTTAAATGCGAAACTTGAAAAAAATCTGTTAATAATGTAAAAATGGGGGTTATAAAACGTTAACCTGGACAGACTATTTTTTTGGCACAGGCTGTAGTATCCATTACGAACTTCAAATACAAAATTCGAAACAATTCCGGTAAATAATGACGCTAATATCATCAAAATACCGAGTATCGCGGGTGCCGTTGCATGAAGCCTATGCGAAGACGTGGACTTGCACTGAAAATTTTCTGTGATGGGGTGTAGTATCCATTACGAACTTCAATTACCAAATTTGAAATAGTTCCGGTACATAATGTCTCTAAAATCATAAAAATGTGCCGGTTGAGGGTAATAAACATACGAAGACGTGGACCCACATGTCTCATTTTCTGTCTTAGGCTGTAGTATCCATTACGAGCTTCAAATGCCAATTTTGAAACAATTCCTGTAAATAATGTCGCTAAAATCATCAAAATACCGCATATCGGGAGGTAACGTTATATGAGGGCTATACGAAGACGTGGGCCCACATGTCTCATTTTCTGTCTTAGGCTGTCAATATCGGGGGCCCATTTTCAATACTAAAAGTCCTGCAGACATAATACACATTTGAGTAAATTTTTATCAACTTACTACATTTCGTTCGGAAGCTAGAGTGATTTTCACAGGCGGACAGACGAATGGACATTGATAATTCGACATAGAACTTTATGCTGATCAAGAATATATAAACTTTTTTGGGGTCTAAAATGTATATTTCGAGGTGTTACAATCGGAATGACAAACTTAATATACCCTCCATACTATGTTGGAGGGCATAAGTAAAGATTAGTATAAATAGTTCTTAAGTGAAAATATTTGTTATTAAATTGGGTTTGAAACTACATCTGAACCAAGGGGTCTATTTCTCAACTCATTTTTTACACTAAGCCTAAGGGGTTACCAATTTTAAGGTAGAGGGTTTCGATTTAGCGACTAGAAACCTGGACAACGTCGAAATGTGTTGCATCCTCGTTGGATTTTATTTTTCAATGCCATCTCCTCAATTCGAGAGAGAATATCTATTCACAAATGACCTTCGCTTTAATTGGACACATTTTCAAATATCTGTAAAGCCGGGGATATACAGGGTAATATGAAAATGAAAAACTTCAACCAATTTCAGACTGCTGTCATTTCTAAGCCACTCGTTCGACAGCTGTTAAAATTATTCCTGTGACAGCTCATTATATTGTTTACAAGCGTACCAACCAATCGTTTGGTGAGAATTTTCCAGAAAAAAAAGTTATTCGTGATGGAATTCAAGCGTGACAGGGTGATTTCTTTATATTTGGCTGGAAAACCAGAAGTGGCTATCGTTAGAGCACTCCGTCATTTAAATGTGAATAAATCATTTGTATCTCGTAACATCGCTCGTTACCGTAGCGTACTGGTAGCGTAGCCTGACGTCAAGGAAGTGGACGGAAGAAAACAGCATCAGCAACATCAGCAGAAATGGTTCGAAAAGTAAAGAAGCGACTTGATCGAAACCCGTGTCACAGTGACCGAAAAATGGCTCGAGAGCTGAACTTATCGCAATATTCCATTAGGCAAATATATGTGAGCTCGGGGTAAAGCCATTGAAATTCCAAAAAGTGCAAGAACTTAAACCGCAACAGAAAGAAAATAGACTCAAAAGAGCTAAAGAATTGCTTCGCTTGGTCGAAAGTGGTGAACTGCCGAATTTGGGTTTCTCCGATGAGAAAACATTCGTTGTCCAGCAGTTTGTAAACAAACAAAATGATCGTGTTTACTTGCCCAAGAGATCAGCTGAAAAGGTGCACCTTCGGTTGGCCACCAGAACTCCAGCGCCGCCCATGGTAATGGCCGCCATAACAGTCTCTGCTCATATTTATCGACCGTGGTATCAGAATAAATCCCAAATATTATCGCGAAAATATTCTGGAGGGTGTATTAAATCCTTGCACACGCAAACATTTTGGCCGCAGACCTTGGGCGTTCCAACTGGACTCAGCACCATCGCAGTCAGCACGCGCCACCCAAGAATGGTTACAAAATAAGGTTCCTAGCTTCATTTCCAGCGCACAATGGCCATCACCAAAATCTCCGGACATAAATCCGTTGGACTATCTGGTGTCTGGAGTATTTTGGAAAGCAAGGTTGGCACTAAAATCTACCAAAGTGTCGATCACCTCAAGCAAGCTTCGTCGGGAATGGGACAAAATACCGCAGAGCAACATTTGGGCAGCGTTTGACAGCAGTTTCATTGTCCGTTTGAAGGCCATAATTCGTGCCAAAGGTGATCAATTCGAACAAATCTAAACATATTCTACAATTTGATGCTATTTCCGACATTGTAAGCTTTCATTCAATAAAATTTAAAAAAACAAATGTAAAAATTATGGCGTTTGACTTTGATGCAGTTTTTTTTTTTCATTTCACCCTGTGTCTGTAAAGCTGAGCTGCTTTCCTAGTATTTTTTCCTTTGTTTTGGTTGTGGTCTTATGTGAAATATCTGGTGACCCGGGCGTTCAGGATGGCCGAACATTAAATTCTCTTCTTAGGTCGCATATATCTCTTTCAAATTTCCATAAATATTTATCAATTTCTCTCCTTATTCCAGTCGTGTCCTGGCCAATGTAAAACCTGGCTATTTGCGTCCCCTGATTCCTGATTCGGCTCCCGAAAAACCCGACAACTGGCAAGATGTGATGAGTGATATTGAGCGGGTCATTATGCCAGGTGTGACACACTGGCATAGTCCCAAATTCCATGCCTATTTCCCCACCGCCAATTCCTATCCCGCCATTGTGGCTGATATGTTGAGTGGAGCCATTGCCTGTATTGGATTCTCATGGGTAGGTTTTCAAAAAATCTTTAAAATTTTTCCCAAATTAATAAATTTTTCCGATCTTTACAGATTGCCAGTCCCGCCTGTACCGAATTGGAGGTTGTCATGCTTGATTGGTTGGGCAAAATGATTGGTTTGCCCAAAGAGTTCTTGGCCTGCTCTGGAGGCAAGGGAGGTGGTGTCATTCAAGGCACGGCCAGTGAAGCCACTTTGGTGGGCCTGTTGGGCGCCAAGGCCAAAAAGATCCAGGAAGTTAAGAAAGAACATCCCGATTGGACTGATGATATGATTGTCTCCAAATTGGTGGGCTATAACTCATCGCAGGCCCATTCCTCGGTGGAAAGAGCTGGTCTCTTGGGTGGTGTGAAAATGCATTCCGTGCCCTCGGATGACAAGAACAGTATGCGTGGTGAGGCCCTGGAGGCGGCCATTAAAAAGGATTTGGAGGCAGGACTCATACCATTTTATGTAAGTTGAGGACCGCTTTAGACTTTTCAGATTTACTAATTCTTTCCGATTTTAGGCCGTTGTTACCTTGGGCACCACCAACAGCTGTGCCTTTGATCGCCTGGATGAATGCGGTCCCGTGGGCAATAAATACAATGTATGGATCCATGTTGATGCCGCCTATGCCGGTTCCGCCTTTATTTGCCCCGAATATCGCCATCTGATGAAGGGCATTGAAACGGCCGACTCGTTCAATTTCAATCCCCACAAATGGATGTTGGTGAACTTTGATTGCAGTGCCATGTGGTTGAAGGATCCCACCTGGTTAGTGGATGCCTTCAATGTTGATCCCTTGTATCTGAGACATGATATGCAAGGTTCTGCTCCCGATTACAGACATTGGCAAATTCCATTGGGCCGTCGTTTCCGTGCCCTGAAACTGTGGTTTGTTTTGCGTCTCTATGGTGTGGAAAATCTACAGGCTCATATTAGACGCCACTGTAAATTTGCTCAAGAATTTGCGGCTCTTTGTCGTGCCGATGATCGTTTTGAAATTGTCGGAGATGTGAATATGGGTTTGGTGTGCTTCCGCCTCAAGGGTGCCAATGAATTGAGTGAGAATCTCTTGAAATTGATTAATGGTCGTGGTAATATCCACATGGTACCGTCCAAAATTCGTGATGTCTACTTCATACGCATGGCATTGTGTTCGCGCTTTACCAAATCCGAGGATATGGTTTATTCGTGGAATGAAGTCAGTGCTGCAGCCGATGAAATGTTGAAAAAGTAAGCGAATGAAGGAAGAAAGCCGTGCAGATAACAGTATTTACGTCATGTTTAGCTGCAACATTTTCGTTTACTTAATAAGTTTTAAAGAACTGGGACCATACTTGCAACATATTTAGGGAATTTAAATGTGCTTCATGTTTTTTTTTATATATACACATACATATATCATAATGTTTTTTTGTTAGTTTTTAAGATGTTAAAAATGTGTAATTCATATATGTACACTATATAAATAAGTAAAATAATTAGTTGATTGTTGTTAATTTAATGTCATTTAAAAATTAGGACACCTTAAAAAGAACAAAAAGAAAAAAAGATTCCAAAATACTCAAAAATCTCAATATTTAAACAAAATTATTAAATAAATGTTCTATTTAAATGAAAAAAATTAAAATGTTTTATGTGTAAAGTACCCACGAAGTAAGCACGAATGTTTTCAGAGGTTTAGGACAGGTTACGGCGTCTTATTCCTTGATTTTCTGCTTTAATTTTACTTAAGGTATCATTTTGTTTGTACAGTATAATCGAATAACTCATTTAATTTCTGGTCCAAAAGTCCAAAATTGCTTTATTTCATTACTTGACCTTTATTTTTAATTTCGTATCTATTATCAAAAAATATCAGATCTTGTTTGTACAGTACCATGATATTCAAGCCGCTATATTCGGATTTCCCGAATTCGATATTTCCCCGAAAATTTAATTTTTCTATCCATTCACCCATTATATAGAATATATTTTTGTGTGTACAGTACATTTCATTACACCCTCCATTTCTATTATTTTTGATTCGGACCTAAAATTGGATATTCCTCAAAATTTTTCTCCTTTTTCAATCCTTCTATTGCTTGATTATTTTTTTATTTAAAAGAGTAAAACATTTATTTAATGATTTATGGTCCAAATTTCTTCATCGTCTGAACACTATATTATTGGGAATTCAACTGTAAAGCTGCTTTCAGACGATAAGGGTTTTACATATGTGCCATGGTAGAAGAATATAGGTAGTCGCATCGACACAGCTGATGGGACAATGAAGTGTCAAATCGATTTTGAAAAACGCACCTCCTAAAAACCTATGATTTACGTCGTATAAGGATAATAATATAATAATCTATAATAATCTACTTATTTTTGACAAAATATTTTAAAATTTTTGACATATCAATGTTCTTAAGCGTTGATGCATCTACCTGTATTCTTCTACCATGATATGTGCTATCACTTTTATTATCCATGTGTATTTCTGTGTGTAATATCCCAAAATATTCGTCGTAGACCCCCAAAAAGTACACATATTTACATAACCAGGATAAAATTCTAAGTCGATTTAACGATGTCCGTCCGTCCGTCTGTTGAAATCACGATACTGCCCACATTGTTTGACGTAGAGATTCAAAATTTGGCAGAACAATTTGTATTGTGTCTAGGATGGTATTTTAAGTATTTTAATGATTTTTGCCACATTTTTTCACGAATTTGTCTAAAAATTGGTATTTGTAGGTCATAATGGACTCTAGGTCGGGTGGCGATACATTGTATATATAGGTTCACGTTTTGGTATAGCCGCCATATAACGGTACCTCCCGATATTCTGTATTTTGATGATTTTAGCTACATTATTCACCGAAGTTTTTTTTTAAGTTTCGCATTTCAATATTGTAATGGCTTATGGCAAAAGTTGCTTATGCAGGTTCACGTCGTCGTAGAGATTCTAATATAACGGCTACATTCGGTATTTTTAAGATTTTAACAACATTTTTACGGGTTTTATTTATTTGAAAATTGCCAAATTCGTTTCAAAGCTTTTACTTTTTACAGCAATTTTAATTTTAAATTTTTTCACACAAACAAACAACCATTTTGATTAAATTATATTTTTCCAATGAAAGTAGGGCTCGCTTTGATCGAAAAAGTACGTATGTGCTTTACTCATGTGCTTCACAACTGAAATGTCGTCCATGTATCACACGGTGTGAGCAAATTCTATACATGGAAAATCTGACAGTACATATGTAAAAACCTTTATCGTAAAAACCTTTATCGTCTCATAGCAGCTTAACATATTAATTTTGGGCTTAACTCTAGTTTAGTAAAAACTCTTCAATTTTTTCGAAAATTTTTTCAGGGGTAGGTATTTTAACCATGTTCCCGGGAAACTATTTTTTTCTTGGGGGACGGACCCGGGACCCCAGATTTTTGACCCGAAAGTCCGGGATCAAGACCCCGACTAGACCCGGATCCACTTACCCGATATAGACAATATGGGTATCTTTGGAAAGCTTATGAAAATACCTATCACATGATGGGGTAAGATGTTACGGTTCGGAAGTTATAGTCAAGTTATCGATTTTTTGGACCCGGATTTTTTATAAAACCCCCAAAAAGTCAAAAAAAAGGTCCACTATGGGGGACAACAAAATTGATGCCAAATTATAGCTGACACTTCTACCTTTCCAAAAAGGTTCAATTTGTGCTAATACCTTTACTGAGTCCAGAGATATGGGTCTTTCCATCCGCATAACAATAAAAAAAGGTATATTTTGCGTAAGAATGAAATTCAAAAATCTTTGGTTCGCGTTAGCCGGTGTAGGACATACACAGAGGAGAAAATCTCAAGCCCCGGCCGAAGGCCGGCTATTTACAAAAAGTGTCAAATTTAGAAAACTTTGGTTCGCGTTAGCCCGTGTGGGACATACCCAGAGGAGAAAATCTCAAGCCCCGGCCGAAGGCCGGCTATATACAAAAAGTGTCAAACTTAGAAAACTTTGGTTCGCGTTAGCCGGTTTAGGACATACCCAGAGGAGAAAATCTCAAGCCCCGGCCGAAGGCCGGCTACTTACAAAAGGTATCCAATTTAGAAAACTTTGGTTCGCGTTAGCCGGTGTGGGACATACCCAGAGGAGAAAATCTCAAGCCCCGGCCGAAGGCCGGCTACTTACAAAAGGTATCCAATTTAGAAAACTTTGGTTCGCGTTAGCCGGTGTGGGACATACCCAGAGGAGAAAATCTCAAGCCCCGGCCAAAAGCCGGCTATTTACAAAAAGTGTCAAATTTAGAAAACTTTGGTTCGCGTTAGCCCGTGTGGGACATACCCAGAGGAGAAAATCTCAAGCCCCGGCCGAAGGCCGGCTATATACAAAAAGTGTCAAACTTAGAAAACTTTGGTTCGCGTTAGCCGGTTTAGGACATACCCAGAGGAGAAAATCTCAAGCCCCGGCCGAAGCCCGGCTACTTACAAAAGGTATCCAATTTAGAAAACTTTGGTTCGCGTTAGCCGGTGTGGGACATACCCAGAGGAGAAAATCTCAAGCCCCGGCCGAAGGCCGGCTACTTACAAAAGGTATCCAATTTAGAAAACTTTGGTTCGCGTTAGCCGGTGTGGGACATACCTAGAGGAGAAAATCTCAAGCCCCGGCCAAAAGCCGGCTATTTACAAAAAGTGTCAAATTTAGAAAACTTTGGTTCGCGTTAGCCCGTGTGGGACATACCCAGAGGAGAAAATCTCAAGCCCCGGCCGAAGGCCGGCTATATACAAAAAGTGTCAAATTTAGAAAACTTTTGTTATTCCGACGACTGCTACGCGAAATAAACACTTTTTTTATTAAAAACATCATTTTAATGAACTGGTTAGAATCGGGTTATGCGGATGGAAAGACCCATATCTCTGGAACCGAAAAAGGTATTAGCACAAATTGTAGCATTTTGGAAAGGTAAGAATGTCAGCTATAATTTGGAAGCAATTTTGTTGACCCCCATAATGGGCCCTTTTTTGACTTTTTGGGGGTTTCATAAAAAATTCGGGTCCAAAAAATCGATAATTTGACTATAACTTCCGAACCATGACAATTTACCCCTTCATGTGACCACTTTTTGGATAGGTATTTCCATAAGCTTTCAATCGATACCCATTGTCTATATCGGGTAAGTGGATCCGGGTCCAGGCGGGGTCTTGATCCCGGACTTTCGGGTCAAAAATCTGGGGTCCCGGGTCCGTCCCCCAAGAAAAAAATAGTTTCCCGGGATCAGCGTAAAAATACCTACCTCTGGAAAAAATCTCGAAAAAATCTAAGAGTTTTTACTAAACTAGAGTTGTTCCTAATTTTGTTCAGAGGATCGAAATTTGGTTAATGTAGATTAATTCCCGATTTTCTTCTTTCCTTTTCATTTTTTCATGAATGTCTGTTTTAATTTAATATATATTTTAATTCTGACTCAAAACCAATATATTCGTATTTTTTGGTTTTTTTCCTTATTTAATATTTTCCTTTTTCTTAATATAATATTTTTTAACAATTTAATATGTATTTAATCATATGTGATTCAACTTACCCCATCTACACGGTTTTACTAGTGTTCTGTATGATATCCAATTAGAATGAATGGCATGATGAGAGATTACTGCTGTTGGAGATTACTCTCCAAACAAAAGTCTCCTTGGCACTTCAGATGACAGGAAACGGAGACAGAAACATTTGCACCGAAGTAACATACGAACACAACACGACGTTTATCTTAAACATTTGCATTTTCTTTTAAACTAATAAAAAAAAACTTTTAACCGCTTTAACTACAAAAGGCCATGTAAGCAACACCGTAATGAAGACTTGCTCTTATTTTACTCTCATTACAATTTAGATTTTCTTTGATTTTTTTTCTCTCGGGAATGGCGCAAGATTTGCCATTTTATTATAAAAAACTATTAGAACACAAAACACTTTTCTTTCACAATCATGTGTAAAATATAATTCTTTGATTTATTTTATAGGCATAAAAACATATTTATTTAATCAAAGACCACATATTTACGGCCAAATAGGCGAATAACATTTACTTTTCTTTTTAAACCACGACAAGTGGGACTCTCATTCTCTCTTTCTCTCTCTCTCTTCCATTAACATTAACACAACACTCACAAAGCAAAGGAACAACAAAAATTGCCAATTCATTGCTAAGCCGGAAAGGAACACTCTTTTTAAAGAATTACACACGAAAATACTTTTATTCTCAATAATTTTTTTAACAATGAATTAATTTTATATAATTTGCTCATTTTCTTTTATATAAACCGATATATTTATTGAAATAACTTAAACACAAACGACGAGCACCATTTTGCAAACGATCGCCTTTTAACACGGATTGACAACTGAAGGAAGTTGCAAAAATGTGTTGCTAATACTTGAAAAGTAATAAATCACATTTAAAGGAAAAAAAATCGCTCAATATGTTAAAAAATCGTGAAATGGCCATATTTTTTCTCTCAGGCCATTTCTCACTCTCATTACTCGTAGAAAACGGGCAACACGAATTGCAATCTTATTTGTGAGGA